GTACTAATTAGTCCATTCATGGCTGTAACTAGTGAATTTATGATTCTTTGTTATAGAATATTAACAATCACAAAGTTTAGGAATTTTTTGCAATTTCAATTTGCAACCGAAAAATCTGAACAAATTCAGCGATGTTTAGTACACTATCGGCTGGCTCTTTAGGTTTTTTCAGATCCTTTAATTGCTAATTGGACTTGAAATATTCTTAAAGTTTCGCATAGTTGGTATTGGCTCACAGTTTGCACTATAATTTATTTCTCCAGTTAGGTTGAATGAAAAATTCTGAAAAAATTTAGATATATAATACATAATATAATAGAACAGTGAGAATTTTTTCAGATTTTTCGATTGCGAAATGAGATCGGAAAGACTTGTTATAAATAAATTGTACAGAAGTTTCTGCATTGTAATAGTGAAGAAAGTGATAAGATTTTATCAGTTACAAGTGTTTTATGACTGCATGACTGTACAGGCAGGCAGATAAAAGGAAATTGTAATTGCAATAAACAGCAAACGCAGTTCAGCATTCGTTGTGGCTCTGTAAGTACGTTATCATTAGCAAACTAGTCGGTAATATTAACTAAATTCCAAATAAGAGACAGGCAATCTTTCCTGTTCCACATTCCCTTTTCATTTTGTCAGTTGCTAATTACAATTAATCATAATTACAGATTAACGATAATTAACAATCATTAATAGTAAAGATACATTTTTGGCTTTCCCTTGTAAATTGTTGTTTTTTATTTATTTGATTTTTTATTCTTATTTATTTATTTATNCCTCAGGAACCTCCCATTAAAATATGTCCCACTAGTCCTGGGACACCCTGTATATACATGTATATACATATATGTAATATTTCACACACACAAGTGGAGAACTCGACAAACTATATTTTCAATCCGCTTTGTAGGCGACGAAAGATGGTCTTTTTTATGCCCTTTTTATGAAAAATATTGTGTGCGACACGGGCCGAATGGCGCCACAGGCGCCCGAGATGACCACGAGCTGCTCAGAACATCATCCGAGCCTGGAAAGGTCCATTCGGCCCGTGTCGCACACAATATTTTTCATAAAAAGGGCATAAAAAAGACCATCTTTCGTCGCCTACAAAGCGGATTGAAAATAGAGTTTTCCCGCTCTAGGGCGGTAAAATCGAGCTTACGCCGGGCGGTAAAATTCATTTTACCGCCCTAGGGCAGAAAAACTCTATTTTCGGTCCACTTTATAGGCGCCGAAAATGGTCGTTTTCGGCTTCGTGTTATGAAAAGTACTATTTTGATAAGCTATCGAATGGCGCAAGCGGCGCTTCATTCGGCTCAAGGGCACATTTGACCCCCTTATCTAGCTAGGCTCTTTCAGGTTTTTCGGCATGGTGACAGGACACCACTGAGAATGGAATTGTTCCCCAATGCCCCTCGAGATCCACTCTACTACGAACTCGGCTACGGACAGCTAACAGAGGTAAGCTAAGAATTTAAAAAATGCTGCGAAGAGACTGTTTCCAACCGAGTGCTCTTGATGTCATGCAACTACCTTTAGAGGTAAAACATTAGTTCGCGATTTTCATCACTTTGGCGCTGATTTAGTGAAAATTACGAAACGAATTGAATTGTACAAGAGGTTTCAACCTTCAATTTAAGTTGAGGTTGAATCCTTTTGCTCCAGTACTAACAAATTTATGGAAGATTGAAATTTGAGAATGTATGCGGTTTGACTTCGATAGGAAAATTTTTATAAGCTTCTCTTCATACACTGCTTTCACCCTAAAGCAATCGATTCATTAAAATTCGTCCAAGGAACTGAGTTAAAGTAGAGAATTCAAGTTTCAATTTGAATGACATTGAACCCCTTGTGTCCATTATTAACATAGTTATTGACAATTAAAGTTTGCCAATATTCTTCAGTCGGATAAAATTATAGGCCATTTACACTGATTGCATACATGAAGGGGCTACAATTTTAAATCAACTTCTATAATACCTTCTAACTGCAATATTGCATCTTTCTTTCAGGTGGGGAAGAACAGGGCGCTACAACTAGGAACACTGTTGAATACGCGATACCATGGGCTACTTTTGAACGACGCGCGGAGTAATGGCGAGGTCTACGCCTACAGTACTGATTATGACAGGACTAAAATGAGCCTGCAATTAGTTTTGAAAGGATTATATCCAACCTCGAGCAAGAGTTCAGTAGTGCCGTTGCATTACGAACCCAGAATTGTAGACAGTGTGCTGCAAGGCTTCCGCTGCTCAAAGTGAGTCGATTAACTTCTCTTGATAGAATGGATGAAAACTCCTGAAAAAATTTACAGATGTCCTCGATATTTATGTTAGTTACAACAATGGGAATTTTTCAGATTTTTAGATGCTTTTATTAGATTTTGTGAAATTCATTTTCATTGTATACTTAATTTTTCTTGCTGGAATAGATAAAAAAACATAAAAACAGGTTCAAATATCTTGGACAGATAGTTGCATCCCTAGGAATTTTTTCAGATCGTAAAATGAAGGAAATATGGTAATACGACAATGTGATAATATGGTTATAATTAGAAGTTCTTTTCTCAGGTACAAAGACGAAGAAAGGAAAGTGAAGAAATCAAAAGCGTATCAAACTTTGATGACGCAAAACAGCGAACTGTTTAAATTCATTAACAGAGAGACAGGGTTGAACACGTCCACGGAGAATAATCCACTTTTCGTAACCGCTGGTGTCTACAATGTTTTCGCAAGCGAGGTCAGTTTAAATCTTAATATAATAGTATGACAGGATATAATGATAGCGAATGATACTGTTAGTTAGCACTCAAAGTAAATTAATAGGATTGCAATTTTGTAGATTAAAACCCAAGAGTGTGCTAGATTATGATAGCGTACGATAGGGAATTCTGATCAGTATCCTGCATTATTATTAGCCAATATCCAAGAAAAGTTATTACAATAGCAATTTTTAGATCAAAACCTAACAAAACCTAATAAAGCCTTTTAAAGTTGATGATAGTTTTTGACAGACTAATAGCGTGTGACTATGATAGCGTATGATACTGAATTTATATCAATATTCTGCATTGTTGCGAATTAATAGTGAAGAAAAATTATGAGGGATGGAATTTTAAGATTGATGCATGATCTGAGATTGTGATAGCTCATGACAGACTATGATCGCCTATGATAGCGTATGATAAATTATGATAACAAAGGGCCTAGCTGGATAAGGAGGTCAAATGTGCCCTTGAGCCGAATGAAGCGCCGCTTGCGCCATTCGATAGCTTATCAAAAACGAAACATTCACTACAATTTTTAGCCCTATGTTTCAACCAAGGAGGTAGTAATCAGGAAAATTCGAAAAATCAGTTTTTTGAGGTATTTCCTTACTTAACGCCTTGCGAAAAATCTGAGAAAATTGTGACATGTTCGTAATGTAGCTGGAGATGACTGAGAATTTTTTCAGATTTTTCCCTTGCAAAATGTAGCCGTGAAAAATAAAAAAGTGCTAAAAATAATTTTTTCTCGA